GTGCCAAGGGAGCCTGCCAATGCCTACCTATGTGCTTAGGTGACAGAAAAGCACATCAATTTTTAATGGACTCAACACATTCCTGCAGAACATTTCAATTCTATTTAATTGGGGTTCTGCATCCAAAAAAGCCTTCCAATGGAAAAGTTTTAACTCACACCGGTCAAAATTAGTATCATCATCATGATTAATATTCTTTAGGAAATTAAGTATATTAATTCATCCCATCACAACAGAGCTGGGGATTGGCCCTGAGCCTTTTACCTCACCTCATCTCTTCAACCATAAAATTTCTTTCCATTTCCAAAATTGTCTTTTCAGATACTTTACATTCCCTGCTAAGGTGCCATTCTCAAGTGCTCTGCACACAGGAACACAAATCTAAGTAAAGAACTTTTAATCAGAATCAAAAGCTGGATTTTCCATAGCTGTGAAACCAGAATAATAGTATGTATAGTGGAAGAGTCAGGGTAAGAAAGTAAAAGTAATCATCGTTTTCTGATCTTATCCAGATACTCCTCCAAAACACAACTGACTTCTTGCTAAGCAGCAGTCACATCAAATACTGGGAAAGGCAACATGGTCTACCCAGTGACATGACAGTAATCCATATGAACCAGTGGGCAAGCTAGCAACTGTGAAAAAAACTGGACAAGCTCAGCAAAACTTCATCTGTAAATATGAGCTCTCAACAATTAGTCTTTCATACATTTTAGCTTGGTTTTTACAAATTCATATACAAGTAAAGGTGTAAACTTGCTCAAAAACATAAAGACGATTTAGATTTTGCATCCATTTTGTGTTGCTCTTCATGGTGAAACTCACATATTAATTACTCTGCCTATTTTTTCATTCTCCTTGTTGCACTGTAACTGAATCACCAAAATAGTAATTATTTCATGTTACAGGTTTTCTAACCAGAGCATTTAAGTGGTCATGATTACTACGTGACTTTGGACTCAACTGTATTGGTGCAATTTGGAAAGTGGGAATTGCAGAAGAGGAGAGGTAACAAAGTGTCAGGGTATGCAGGGCCTTCTGGCCTGAACTTACCACCAAGGACAATATAGAATCATAGAACAGTTTGGGTTGGAAGAGATCTGTAAAGATTATCTAGTCCAACCCCCTGCCATGGGCAGGGACATCTTTCACTGGATCAGTTACTCAAAGCCCCATCCAACCTGGCCTTGTACATTTCTAGGGATGGGGCCTCCACAACTTCTCTGGGCAACCTCTTCCAGTGTCTCACCACCCTCATCATAAAAAATTTCCTCCTTATGTCCAATCTAAACCTACCTTCTTTTAGTTTAAAACAGTTGTCCCTCGTCCTGACACTACAGGCCTTGGTAAAAAGTCTCTCTCCATCTTTCTTATAAGTCCCCTTTAAGTACTGAAAGGCTGCAACAAGGTCTTCACGTATTAAGGACAGAGACATACTAAGAATTAATGTCTTTACCAGTAAGCCATAATTCACTGTACGTCTTACAAAAAGTAAAGTAAGTCAGATAAAATTGACTTGAAAAGGGGGCACTCTGTATCACCAAATTTACACTGCAAAATAATTAGGCTTGAATGTCCAGAACCCTGAAAGCTTCCTTGTGTACGCTGCCCAAGCAATCCTCAGCCTGAAGTTAATTTACAAATATATTCTCACACATTCAGACACTCACGAAGAGCTAGTGACTTGGCAATGCTTGAGACAATTGATAACAAAAAGTGCTCAGTAAACAAATGTTCCATTTGAGTTGCTTCCTTTGTTCTGGTGACAAACAACACAAACAAGTTTGCATTCAAATTCTACTTCACCCAGACCCCCATATAATTCTCTTTCCTTTAATGCAGGGGGAAGTAAGGAAGATTTACTCATCACTCCCCCATTTTGGAGGAATACAGACTACCTTTGAAGAACCTTATCGTATTACAAATAGCTTATGGTTTCGGTAAGATCTGTCAGTACTGTTTGTGCGTAAAGGACAGATGTTTACTGCCTGTTTCCTACTGAAAGAGGTGGAGGCAGCTGTATATTCTGAGATGAGCATGTACAAAGCCTATATGCAAGGTGCTGAAGAGGGGAAGCCTCTTGTACAATAAGAAAAGAGGTTTAATGACCTGCAGGAACACTTGAACAAATACAAGCACTTCCGAGGTTCTCCCTAACCAAAACCCACAAGTTTAACTTTTATGAATCAAGCTGTCAGTCATGTAAAATGAGTTCAGCTATTAATGAAAAAACAATAAATGTACAATAATGAGGAAATGACCTAATGGACCAAGGCAGATCGACTTAATTTGTTATTAATTAACTGCCCTTAGGAGAAACTGTAGAGGGAGAGGCCAAACACCAGGATAACCGTTAACAGAATGCTTTCCTCTCAATAAATGAGATTTTCATTTTTGGTATGCTCCAGGAAGAATTAAAAAAGAAAAAGGAAAAAGACAAAAAAAGATACTGTTCTCTGCATGCTGGCAAGTATACTGGTACATGTCACTGCCGATAAATTAAATTAAAGCCCACGTGCAGAAGCATTTAATCAGGAAGAACAAGCAAACAAAGTGAAACACTATCAGCCTTGTTTTGCTCTCATCCTGGCCTTTATACTAAAACTGTTCTTAGCAACTTCTTTTTTATAATTATATTAATTACCACATTCTAGGGAGAAAAATAACCCTGAATAGCAATTACAGCTCCTCCGAGGGTAACAGAAATGTTACTAAATAAAGAACATCACTATGTAGATTTCCATGCCTAGAAGGAGCTGCATCATCTCCAGTTTCTCTGTTACTAAATGTCTCCTGTAATATAAATGATGATTTCTTTACAGCTGCATTTATACAGGCAATAATGGCAAAGATGCAGCAACAGTACGCTCACCTATTTTTTCCTCTTCATCTATTGAAGTCTTCTGTTTAAACAAGAGTTTCTAAAATTAACATGAAAATATTTTCACTCCTGTTCCCCTACTACAGAAAGAAATTTGCCCATGGCCAGACCACTCATCATACTGACCTGCATGTCTTGCCACTGTCTAATTCACAAGCTCACAGCCCTGTGGTCATTCTCAACAGATTTCCCCTACAAACCTTCCTTCTCTATACCTCAGCCACCTGGGATTGCTTCCTTCTACCTCATTTCTAACTTCCTCACCTCTCACCCCTTGCTCTCTGAAAAGAGATCTTTCCTGGAAACGATTTTGTTACATTTCTTAAGTCAGGCAGAATACTGTCCAACTTTTTGCCTTGATGCAGTAAGGGATGAAATAAAGACTGGGACATATGTGTATCACTTGGAGACCAGTGAGCGAATTCGGCACAGAAAACTTTCCAAATTAATGCCCATGCACTAAGTTCATTTCCCATTTCCTTCAAAAAACAAATTTTTTTTCAAAAGAGCAATTTGTACCAGAGACTATTCTCAGAGGCTCAATCTAGCCCTTTCATGTTTTCCATTTCAGAAAAATACACTAAAACTTCCTTGACATTAGGTCTCTTCAATCAACTGCTCTAGTCTCGATCAATGGACTTTATTCATAAATAAAGCAAATGTAATAATTGCTACACTAAGAGGCAAAAAGGCACTCATCTAATTTGCTTAGGCTATGGTTTTGTTATCCTGATCATATGTTCTGTTGCTACATCAGAGGGCTACTAAAATGATCCGAGGGCTGGAGCACCTCTCCTATGAGGACAGGCTGAGAGAGTTGGGCTTGTTCAGTCTAGAGAAAAGAAGGCTGCGGGGAGACCTGATTGCGGCCTTTCAGTACCTAAAGGGGGCCTATAGGAAAGAGGGGGAAAACCTTTTTAGTAGGGCCAGCTGCGTTAGGACAAGGGGTAATGGTTTTAAACTAAATCGGGGTAGGTTTAGGCTAGATATAAGGAAAAAATTCTTTACAATGAGGGTGGTAAACCACTGGAACAGGTTGCCCAGAGAGGTAGTGGAGGGCCCATCCCTGGAAACATTCAAGGCCAGGTTGGATGGGGCTCTGAGCAACCTGATCTAGTTGGCGGTGTCCCTGCTGACTGCAGGGGGGTTGGACTCGATGACCTCTAGTGGTCCCTTCCAACCCAAAACATTCTATGATTCTATGATTCTATGATTCAAAGAGGCAGAAGCATCAGATGTGGACCCACCCAGAAAAATAAGGCCTGTTGTGTCAACATATTGAGACCACTCTTAAACATCCTGCTTCTAATATCCAAATACAAGCTTCTTCAAGTTTGTGACATTAGGTTAGATTAGTAGCCCAAATAAAACGCAAATATTAGGAAGACATATTTTAGGAAATACCAAAATGACACAGCCAGAAACAGAAAATTTTAGCAGGATGAAAATTGCTTGTGGGGAGAAACAGCAAAACCTCACTAGCCTCCCACATACAATGGGAGACTGCCCCAGAGCACAGAGCTACACCCAGCCAAACATTTTTGAATGAGTAACAGAGTAATTTTTATTTAAAAATTAACACAGAACAGATTTTCTCTCCAATAAACTAGGAAGCCAAAACCAAAGCATGTAGAGCTTGAATGCATCGGTCACAGAATGCACACAGCACCATAGAAAGATACTGGAGTGATCTGGGCTACTGGGTGCTGGCTCTAAATGCTATTTAGAGCATGACTAGCACTCCCAAAAGGATACCCTTATCTTATGGGATTGAGAAATAGGGAGCCTTCGTAAGGTGGTCTACCCCAATTCCATTTTTCCATTTCTTACATGAAAAAATACTACATTTGCCTGTGACTCAGTTTCTCCCTCTATCAAGTTAGAATTGTATGTATTGTTAGGTTTAGTGGCTGCTTACAATCCTTGAAGGTATGGTATTAGGTGATTATAATATTATGCATCTACTTTTAGTATTCCCCAAGATACTTTAAAATAAGTTTACAAAAAAATTCATTAAATTTATAAGAAACAATGTTCAACTTAGACTCTGTGAAAATTCAGCATACTAGCAAAAACCAACAGCTGTCCAAGAAATTAAATTTAGAAAAACCAGACTTACATTTGTGTTGCAGAGTTTATATTGCTTGTAGGTGCCAATGCACACAATTGCTGCCGCCCTTTGAGGCTGGGGCTGACCCTGGACCGCCTGGTGTGATGCAGACCCGTGATGGTTTGAGTCGCTGCTGTGAAACAGGCTTTGAGATACAGGAAATGAAGATGACTGATAAACTGAGGGTCCCAGGACTTGATGTCCAGCCTGAGGCCCACTTTCTTCTTGATAAAGATTCCCATGTTGAAGTGAAGGACTAGCTGCCTGGCTGTAACTGTTCATGAGACTTGGACTCTGATGAAATACGTGGCTCCTCGATGACTGTCGCTGCCTCCGAAGTTTCTGAGGCTGCTGACCAGTATCAGTTTGTAAAGGTAAAATGTATGGCACTTTTCCATATCCATACTTCCCTGGACCAATAGGATTTCTGTTTCTGCTTCTAAAAAACAGAGAAAGAGAGAGAAAACAGTTACTGATTTCATAAGTGAAGGAGATACTTGTATGACTTGTTATTCGTCAAAGTTATTCACTGCAAAGCAACAGGTAACCAGAAATTTCAATCTATTTTACAGAAAATATGTACAAGCTGTAGTCTTGCTTGGTGTACTGGGAATCTCTGAAGAAGTCTACTGGTTGAACTAAATCCTGGGCCCTCTTTGGCTGAGTATCACATGGGAAGTCACTTAGTGTCAACTAGCAAAGGTGAATCGTTAGGTACAGTATAAAGTAGCAGTTTTGGGAGAGGTGGTTGCTGTTCTTTTAATCCCTAGGACTCTCCTTTAAAATGGAAATTCAAAGAATCAAAGCTGTGTATTCCTAAAATGCATAACCATGTTTCTGAGGAGCTTGAGATACATAACAGGAGGAAATCCCTACTGTGGATTTGAGTAATGACAGAAGAAATTTTCAATGCAGTATGGCAAACATCATTAAACAGTTTGTATCCATTTAAAAGGCCTCCTGTGGTTCTGCTTCATTTGCTTCTTAAGAAACAAAAATGGAAACAGAAAAAGGATAAGGAGTATCGAAGTATTACTGAAAGACCTCTGGAAAAGATGAAAAATGCAGGAAAATATTCTTATTATGGTACACAGTTTACTTTCTCTTCTTTGGCCAGCAGATTTTTTCTCTTTTGTTTTTAAATATGCGAAGTGTGCATTAGCAATACATGTCGTGACCCCCCAGTTTGTTGTCAGGATAAAAGCCCACCTTTCACTGTACATTACTAAAACATTACACAAGAGCTTGACAGCTGCCAGCACTAATCACAGAAGTTTCAGGTCCGCTCTCTTGCGCACAGATCTCTTCTTACTTACCGAAAAGCCCATGTTTTGTGCCATATTACACCTGTACCAGCACCCTCAAATAGCTGGTAGTCCCTGGAGGGTAGTTCTGTCCTCTGCACACACACAGCAGCACAATGGACTCAGTCTAGAAACTCACCTCCAAATAACAAGTGGAAAATCATAAAATTAATACCACCACATTTGGGTCATACCATTCAAGAGGGTTAATCCTGGAATTTTATCTGCAAGCAATAGGCTCATTTGCATTCACTTTTCTTGTCATCCTGTACAGCTCAACATCGCATCAGGCCTTGATTTCTAATATTGTAGTCTGAAGAATAAGTTGGCAAAAAAGATTTCTTCCAGTTCAAAGCAATGCGTGAATACAGCTGTTTTGGGTAACCTTTCCAGCTCAGGAAGGGAGACACCATTAAAAGAAGGTAATTTTCTTTCTGTCCATAAAGCGTATTTATATTTTTAATATATATAAAATAGACTTGAACTGCAGTGAAAACCAGAGGTTATAAATTGAAATACTTGTTTTCTACAAATTGAAGTGTTACAGATGTCAGACAGCCACCAGATCAAAGAGACTTTTCTTTAGGTTTGCTTTTTCTTGTGTTTGTTTTCTTCCCAAGTCTTATATTCTCCCAAGACTCTTGTTATGTGGGAACCTTAGAAGTCATTTACTTAACATTCTAGCTTTACGGCCCACGTGGGGCTTTTAATCAGTCTTCCTGGCTCAAGGATGTGTGAACAAGAGTGTTGATTTACCCTGGCAGATAAGCGACCAGCACTCTTGAGCTGTTTATACCCATTAATCTGCTCTGTGACAGTGATGGTCATTGTTGAGGTAGGGTATTGGTAGTTACAGTAGAGAAAAGTAGTATAATGGTTATTGTATTAAGGGAGGGGAAAAAACACAAAACCACTTCCTATAAGTGGACAGGAGAAGAAAGAAAGAGAAATTATGAAAATTATTTCAGAAGTTGAGGCTAAAACCAACTTGATTTAAACAAGCACAATTTTGTGTTGTATTGTGGGTTGGTTTGGGGCTATTTTTTAATGGGCAAATAAATCGATTCCCCCTATTTTGCTGTTATTTTTAATTTTTAACATTTCTTCATTTCTGAGCAAAAGCAAAACAAACAAACGAACAAAATCTTTCTTGAGATTTCTAGTCATATTCTGCACTCTGAAAACACTTGGGTATCATAGTTCTCGGGCAGCATCTTAGATTTTGGAGCAGATTGTTTCATCTTGGAAAACAGATACAACTCCTTATTTTTACTTTCTCCAGTCTCCAATGATTCTTACAGACAGCGGTTTTCTTCTCAACCTGACCACACCAAATTTGAAGTGTCTGAGATACGAACCTTGGCAAGAGCTCCTGGCATTGAGAAAATTACTGCTTCGTTGCAGGGTACACAGACTGCATAGGGTGGTGTTCACAGGGGTAGACAGAGGGTGGCAGCTCTACCAAAATTAGCCTTTTGAATTTATCATCTACAGTCAGGTTGCTTGCATTTTTCATCAACAGGAAAAGAAAGCTGCTAATAACTGAGCAATAAGCCACGTGCAGAGCAGTGGAATGGTATGAATATGCCTCAGTCCCAGCCTTCTCAATGCCAAATCCTTTGCAGCAACAAGCACTAGACTCTACCAGAAAGTAACACCTAGATGCATCGTCTGACACACCTGGAAGAACCTGGCAAACTAGGAGAGGTCACACAAAATATCAAAAATGAGACAGATGTTTGACTGTTACTCTCCAGCTTCATGAATCAGAACTGAAAAGAACTGAAGGACATGCAAGAAATGGTAGCATAAACTAGGACTCTTCAGCCTGGAAAAAATGCTGAAATGGGCATATAGTCATCTTAAACATAGAATGAGTGGTATCTGAAAGAAGGACTCATGGTTGAAGGCAGCAAGTATTCAATAGCTGCTGGAATCTCATTAAATCATTTGCAAAAATTAGAAAAATATTATTTTGAGGGAAGCCAGGCTTTTTTAATGTAAAATGGTTGATCACTACAATAAACGTACAACAACAGCACCTAAGAAGTAAAAGCATTAACATTCTTACTGTTAGTTCCTGTCTCATCTTGGCTTCTTTTTCTACAGTGTAACTTGGAAATGTTGCTGGAGTCCCCACTGATGAAGAAATGAGGCACCATTTCTGGTAGCCCAGGTTTCCAGCACCCTTATGATGACATGCCCGGGGTTGCATCAAGGCTCATCAGGGGTGAGTCCCTCTCCTTTGCCTCTTCCCCCCTAACAGTTAGGGCCAGCATAACCCAAGACATAGCCATGTACCACTGAATACAAGTTTTGATTTGCTCGGGTTGTGCGGTAATTATGACCTGGAATTTTCATGGGAACACACTTCCTCTGAAATTGAAAGGTTAACTTTTTGTAGCCAGGAACATCACATTTCGTTTTGGTGGGTTTTTTTTGTTGTTGTTTCTTTCAACATACAAACTTCTGGACACAAAGTCTAACACACAACCTCTGATTTTTAACATCTTTATCAGTGTTCCTGCATTTATTTAAAACAATATTGCCTGGACTGAAACTATTCCAAAAACTCTCTGTTTTGCTCAACAGCATCTTTCATTCACACTTGGCAATGTCCTTATAAATTAGGAATGCAGTTTGTTGCAATGTAATAAAGAAGCTGTAAAAATAGCTTGGTGGTAATTAACTTTTACAGTTCTTGTGGAGTGTCAGGCAGAATTTATGATGTCATGTAGCAAAGAGGGAGGGAGTATTATGTAGGTCCATAGACAATGAGAAAACAATGAGGAAAGGGGAATCAGGAAAAGGGGGAGGAAAATCAGACAAAATCTACTATTAACATAATAATCAGAATTAAACTAACCTTGCTGACACTGTTTGCTTTATACTAAATCAGTCCAGTTGTGATCTGCTGGTAGGAGACAGAAGTAGATCAAGCCCTGATGGCTTGTTGGGAGTTTTCAGTTGCCAACAGGACTTTTTCTTACCTGTCATTCATTATGATTACCTATATTCATTATAAGCCACGTAACTCACTCCCTCCCTACAACATGGCTTAGAAGCTCCTCCTTACTGGTCTTTTTTTTTTTTTTTTTTTAAATGCACACTGTCATGACTCAGGTCAGAGTTGGGATGCACCCTCTTTTAATGCAACAGATAAAGGAGGAAAAAGGAACTAGCAAGTAACAGCACACCCCTAAGCCTTGTGCCTACTTAGCCAGACCTAAGCTACAGTGAGATTTTGCAGCATTAGACTTTACATACCCAGGTATGCTAAAAACCAACAGAGTCACCCTTCTTAATGTAGCAATGGTCAAGAAGAGCATTTGAACAGGATGTTGAGTATGTGTTGCTACAGGAGTGAAGTTGATTGTATGAGCCACAGTCAACAGCTCTCAGACAGACTGAAAATCCAATTTGAGCAAAATCTGAGTTGTAGACTCCGAGTTTTAGACAACTTTGACAAAGCTTTTCCAGCAAGGTATTAGATTCTGCCATTACAAGTCCATGGTTTCCCAGCATTAATAGAAATAATTACAAAAGTCTGGCAGCAGAACGGAGCCCCATATTTCTCCCACCACCACAATTCCTAAAACAGCTGTGTTTAGAAAGGATTTAATATATTTTCAAAATCTGCAACATGCCACACTGCACCGACATATCAAGGATATGACTTCATCAATACAAAGTCTTCACATAGCCTGTATGAAAACAGCGATAATGAATAATGCTTAGGTTCCTTCTGATAAACACAGCCCCTGCAGAGCAGCTATTGTTTATATATGGATTTACTTAGGTATTAAAACTGTAAGTTGAAGCACAGATCATGAGAATAATTGCAGGGTATGAGAAGTCAACCACTGGCACGAAGACATGAGCTTTATCACACTCAGAACGAAGCAGTCAAAATAACACTTTACTGCTCATTTAACTATACAAGAAGTAGTTAAAAAGCAAAAGAAACCCAACTCCCAGAGTGGAGAGAACACCAACTGTTTGAAAAAAGGTGACAGGAGAAAGAAGCCCGGGACTTTATTCTGCAGGATTACTCAGTGCTTCTCACTTGTGTAAATCTTGTGCTACTTTTGCACATGGTTGGGCCCTTCAGGAAGTCACCAATTACCTGCTACAT